CCACGAGCAGTATGACCTTGTGATTTGGCTCAGGGTTTCGAGGTCTCTCGCGCGCTGCTCTGATTTCTGCCTTCAACATCAAAACTTGCTCTGTCAAAACTTGCTCGGATAGATATTCAGGTTCTGTAACCTAGATTGGATGCCTGCTTAGTACGTTCGGAGAGCCAGGATGCGGTCACATACCTCGTCGGTGACAGACACGATCGAGTCTGTGTCGTAGCGGTGAGAATGATGGTCCATATCTCCACTAGCGTGCTGGAAAGGTAAGGTCAGTAATTTTGCGTGACAATACCATACGCTTTTTAAAGTTCTTTCTCTTTGGAAGAACCATGTAAAACTTTTACGATCCAGGTCCCCGTTCAAACGGTAGACATTGATCTGTGTCCTTCATCAGGTAGCGGAGTTGACCAGAAATGACTCGGACGATAAACTGCTAGCCGATTGTCCACTGATGACACACTTTGGGTTACCATTCGAGTGATGGTCGGAGTTGGCTAACAAAATGAACCTGGAAAAAGGTGTACGTACAGGGGGATTTCGATCCAAGAATACGTCGTCAAAACCCATTGATCGGTGGGCAGGTTGCTATCCTAGTGTGATTGATGCTGCTGATCGTGGTAATAGAGAATCAAGGCTAGCTTTGCAGAAGAAATTGGTTATATTGTTCGTGTGATGGAGAAACACAGAATCGCACGTCAAAGTCTTGGGGTTAATATCTCACATGTGTAACTGCCCTTAAAAGCAACGTCTCAGACTCAGACCAGTGAATGAAATTGTTGCAAAAGCATGGATCTGGCTGTACTCTAGAGACTCGCTCAACGTCTTGGGTTGAAGGTCTCTACATCTTGAACGCCCCGGGACCTAGGACAACAGCAGGTCCTGGCGTAACAATCCATCTTCTGGCTTACGATATCTATCTCATAAGCTCTCGACAATATATTGGTAATTTAAGGGTTTTTTTTTTCTAATTCTTAATTTTGGCCTTAAACAACAACCCATTCGCCCAGAACATCACCCGAATCAGCTTGTGTGCCACGACAATAGACGGGAGGTCTTACCTTGGTCATGGTCCCAGGAAATCGGACAAGACACCTGCAAAGCATCAATGTATCCTGTAAAAAGTCAGCGCGGGACGCGCTGAGTAAGTCACCTCGAACGACACCCCTCCCACCTCGCCACAATCACACTGCCTGAAGCGTCCGCCCAACCGACCACAATGTCTCAAACAAGGGCTTGAAGTTATCAGATCCAACCATCACGGTATTGCGAAATGAGCTTGAGAGGTCCAACAGCCGTCGAGGGGAAATGCGATGCGTTGTTGCCGAAGGGCCGCATGTGCGCATCAACTCGGTTCCGATCAAGCCCGCGACCAGCAAGCGAGCAAGAATAATGAGCTTTTGCGAGCCGGAAGGGTATGAGATCATTCGCGTGTTGCGGCGTTCCTGCTTTATGTAACAAGAACATTGGTTTGCCGCCCGTCGTCGACGGCTGCCGTGCCATGCGCGGTGCGATATTCTGGCCCGGACGGCATATTCAGAGGAGAGACAGAGGGTAGGTTTGAGCGTGGCGTCGGCGGTTGCGCCCAAGTTTCGGGCAGAACGGGCGTCGAAAGTGACGAGGCAGTGACGGGGAGATGCCGCCAAAGACCTGAGATCCAAGACTCGCAAGGAGAAGTGATGACTTACGAGATATCCTGGTTAAGTTTGGGATGGACATGTCGGATAGAAGTCTAGAGATAGAGAGAGAGAGAGTTGCAGATTATTTGGCATCATGACTTGAGGTTTGTGAAAGGAGAGGACAGACCTGAAGCTTTTTCATGAGTACAAAGGAGAGCAATACCAGGATCTCTAGGTTCCCTAAGATGCTTAGAGAGACTTGATATGACATCTCAAGGGAACAAGGATGGTTTGAAGAAAGAATGAATATGAATGGACCGATGGTAGGTTGCAGAGCTGGAAGTGGACAGTTGTGGTGGAAGCCGTGGCAGATGAGTTCCCTAGGGGCTGTTTTGTTCTTTCCAAGTGAGAGAAGTGACCAAGAGGAGGGTGAGGCAACAATGAACACTCGGAGTCTGCCTCAAGATCCAGATCGCTGTCATCGACCTCTACGCGTTGCTCTACGCGTTGCCTAGCAGCCAGTGAATCATGCTGAAGCGAGTTGGGTGAATTGCTTCCCTGGACTTGCGGACAAGAATAATGGCCCTTGCTATGGTTGTCGTTCAGAGACGGACACGGACACGGACACGGAACGGGATGGATTCGGTCTGCTTGATGGTCCTTGGCCGCACAACAGCGCGAGCCGCTGCCTTTAGGTCAACCGAGATCAGTCCACACTTGGTACGTCAATCCCAACAGTCAGATCCACCACCAATTTCTTGATTTAGCCTCGAGCTTCTCGCAGTGTTGTACGCTTTCACCATATATATAAGTGCCATCTATCCCTTTGGATCCCACGTCAACACGTAGAAAGTCCAGCTCCGCAAGGTCACAAAAACAAATCGATGTCACCGTGTACTGAGACTGATCGTGAGCGAATGAGAATGTTGAGGCGGAATTGAACTTCTTAGGTCTGTCTTTAGCTAAAGTACAAAGAAAACGGCATTGTGCTGCCTTCAGTTTCTGGTCGCCAGTCTAATGCTACCAAACCATGCTGTGCTCCCCGTATCTCTCATGCAAATGCTCGTCGAAAGAGTGTCCGATTGTCCTACACGCAATGCCAGAATACATAGGAATCCCATACATGACCAAAACGCCTGCCTTTCATCATTCATATCGTCCTAATCCTCATACAGTAGCAAGTAAAAACATCTCAATCGGCGCCCGAGCCCTCAGACAGCGAAGCTGAACGAGAGTGCAGGCGCAGATCGCATCGACGGATGACTTGTCTAGAAAGCAGTTAGTACCACAACTCACCACGAAGGAGGAAAACACTCACATCTGTCCCCGGTCGTTCGGGTCTCGCACAACAACCAGCTGTTTGGCCTTGTCGCCGTCCTTTCTAGAGGTCCGTGTACTACCGCTCCGCCGCGACGGACTCGAGAGTCTACTGCGTAGGCTTGCCACCTCGGCCTTGAGCCCGTCAACCTCCCCGTTGGCAGCGGCGTGGGCAGCCATTGCGCTCTCAAGTGCAGCGTTGGTTTCTGCGAGCTGCGTCGCCAGCCCTCCGTTTTCCTCACGTAGCGCCGGCACTTGTGCGGCGTCTTGCTCCGCGGTCGCAAGACGCAAGGCGAGGTCGTCCCGCTCGGTTGTCAGGGTCTCGACCTTGCTCGCTTCTTCTTGGAGTGTCGCGTTGCGCGTCTCAAGCTCGGTTTTCTGCGTCTGCAGAGTGGCAAGCAAGGCTGCTTGTTCGGGATCGGCAGTGGTTTCGGCGGATGGCGCTTCCTCGACGGCTGCCTCGGGCTCGGCTGCTGGTTCGCCAGCCTCCGACTCGGTGACCTCGATAATGTCGGGGGTACAGCTGTCGCCTGACGCCGGCGTTGCGCTAACCTCGCTCGTCTTCTCGTCAGGCTTCACAGTGGCATCCGAGACTGTGGTGGCGGCATCGCCCTCGGCATCCGCTTTCTTCTTTGACGGAGACGAGGTTGCCTACTTGGCTGGGAGCCTTGGTGCCAGCGTTGCTGCTCTTCTTGGAGACCGCGCTTGATGCCTTGCTTGCCTTTGAGACGGTGCTGCCGACCTCGCTGGGCGCCTTGCTTGTCGCTTTGGAAGCGACACTCCCACCTTCACTCGGCGCCTGACTACCCATATCGCTGGCGACCCAGCGTCCGACGCGACTCCCGACGACGCTTCCCAAGACGCTGCCGGCCTCGGACATGGCCTTGAGCGTAATATTCTCTTCCTTGAGGCCGTCGCGCTCTGCCGAGAGCGTCAAGACTTGCGAAGTATGGTCATCTTGATCCTTGAGAAGGCTCGAGACCTGCGTCCGCAGGTTGCCGTTTTCACCTTTCAGGCGGTCGACTTTTGTCTTGAGCTTCTCGCTCTTGCTGACAATGGTGCTCTTGTCGTCTTCGAGGCCGCCAACTTTGGACTGGAGCTCTCCGTTGGTGTTTTCAAGCTCGACGACATGGGCCTGAATGCTATCCCGTTCCGTCTCGAGACCCTTGATTGTTTCCTCGAGTGCCTTAGTCTGCTCTTCGAGTTTACTCTTCTCGCTCTCCAGGACCTCGACACGAGACTCGAGGTCTTTCTTCTCTTCGACCCACGCGTCCTTGTCCTTGCTGAGCTGGTCGCGCTCAGTCGTGAACTCGCCGTACTCAAAGTCCTTCCTAGCGATCTCCGCCTCCAGAGCCTGTGCCTTGGCTTGCAGGCTCTCCTTTGAGAGCTCGAGACTAACAATACGAGCAATGTGTGCCGCATCTTGTGTTTTGCGAAGATCTTCAACATCTTCGACATCGCTGCGAAATTTCTCCGAGTCTGTCTTGAAGCGCTCTTCCTGCTGCTTAATCTCGTCCTGCAGTTCATCACACTTTGCCTCGAGGCAGACTTTGAAGTCCTTGTAAAGCGTCAGGTCTTTTTCCAGTTCAGAGACCTTGGCCTGGAGATCTGCCTTGTCTTGCTGCAAGCCCTGCACTTCCTGGAGGCCTTTGGATGCGGACCTGGAGTGCTTGCTGTGGGTGGTGAGGGAGCTCTGAGCGTCATCCACCATCTGGTACTGGTGTTCGAAACCGCGCACGACAGAAGAGGGAACAGAGGCCTCGGCAAGCCTGCGCTCCACGTCTTTCTTCTCAGCACTGATGACGGAGATTTTATCAAGCGCATTTTCCAAATCTCTCGCGGTAGATGACTGGCCATCCTGCAGAGACTTGACCTCATCTTTGAGTTCTTCAACCTGCTTGAGGAGGATCTCCTCGCCCTTGTGACGAGAGGTCGACCTCGATCTGGCTGCAGAGGCTTCTTCGTTGCTCACGATGGACGATGGAGTGTCCTGGGATGTCTTGGCCGACTCTTTCAAGGCCTCGACTTGCCTCGCTTGAGCACCGCCACCCTTGCGTTTGTTGCGGCCGCCTTTACCTTTGCCTTTTCCCTTGGCCTGAGGCACAGGGACTTGTGTTACGGGCGCCTGAACTGGGGGAGCCTCAATCTTGGCACGAACAGGCGTGGGACTGTCTTGGAGGGGACCAGGGGCGACCGAGATGTGATAGGTCCGGCCACGCCCGTCGGGGAGTGTCAGGCCAACACGTCCAGGTTGCCGGTTCTGCTGTGACCTTTGTCGAAGCCCTACTGTGACTCGGCCGGGGACAGATCGGGCTCGCACGAGTTGGCGACCCGGAGTGGATTTCGTTGTGGCGTCATCAGACGGAATACTGGTGGCATCTGTGGAGATGGAGAGATTGGAGGAGCTCCATCGGAACTCGGGTTCGGATTCAATATGGTTATCGTCTGAGTGGTACGGGCCAGGCGACATATAAGGTGAGTTGTTTAGATTCTGGCTGGGACGCCGGGATCTGAACCGAATGGTAGGGGGTCGAAACTTGAAAGGCCGGGCGGTAAAGCGAGCCCGTCTGCGGCGAACAGAGCTGGCGTCAGAGCCAGCAGCCATGGATGGTGTGGCCGAGTTGAATGATAGTTCGGATGGGGTGGTGAGGAGCTCGTTGTCAAGCCGGTTCGGCTGGGACATGCGGCGCTTCAGGTTGGAGCTGCCTATGCCCGCCATGTTGTTGTTGTTGTTACGAGTCCCTCCTGGGCCTCGTTGACCTCCAAAGGGGTAGGCCATGATGTATTGGGAGTGATGATAGTTCACTCGTAGTCTTGGGGGGGGGCTTGCTGATCAAGTAGAAGCTCAGGGTGAGGCGAGTGGCCAAGGAGGACGTGGTGGTGGGCTAGTGGCTGTCTGGAGTGCTGCATTTGGAGTTGTGAGAAGTGATGATGGTCGATGTTGCATATCGATGATGTTCTGGGCAAAGCGTGGGGAAGCAGAATGAGGTGATCGACGTGCAGGTCAAAGTCAGAGGACAAATTAAGCTGCAAGAGGAAAAAGAAGTCAAAGTGCCCAACGCCTTGCTTAAAAACCGTGTTTGTGGCCTGTCGCGAGCCGAGTAGCCTTCGCCCCGTTTACATGGTGGAGGAGCCCGACGGGGTCAGGCATCGCGGGCACGCGGCAATCAACATCAAGAGGCCAATCAGTAGGTACCTGCATGGGAGGAGCGGGAAGAAAACAGGGTCGAGGACCACGGGGTGTCTGGGGAATGTGCCCGGTTGGACTTGAGCTGGCGCTGTTTACAATCAACGAGGGCATCGTGAGCGTTACACATTGGCCGAACCTTGTGTCTCGCGTCCGGCCAGGACGCCCACATTCACGTATCTGCTCCCGCCCGGGTCCACAGGCGATGGCGGATTGGAGCCATGTGGTGAGACCACTGCTCGGGAGAGAAGAGTCGAACACTTGTCGTTGGTCAGACAGGGGATGACGGCTGTGGCTTTTCTCGACATGGCCGTGGTGTGTGTGGGCAAAAGGAGCCGCAACAGACGAATGCTGTTGAGCCCCTTGTCCAAATAGACACGGTCCTGAACCGCCTGAGTCATCTGGCTCGATTAGAACCAGTATCGAGCCCAGTCATCTGTTTGGGGCAGCCAGTGAAAGTGACACGATAGTTCAAGGACCAGGTTGGGCGTGGGCCTCTGGCGGGTTGGGCTCGCACGTGGTGAGACCCGATTCGTTCATTGTGCATTTTCAGGCATCTTGGCGGCTTTGCCCGATGATTCAGGCCTCACTAGGCATTGTCGACAGAGTCGGGCGCTCGCAACGGGGCTGAGACAAAATGACGAGTTGTGTATGAAGAACTTTTTTTGCCATCTTAGCATCAAGTTGCCATCGGCTTGCTGTTGTCAGTGGCCTGTCGTTGGTGATCGCAGGGAACAGCTGAATGTGGTCGGCACTTTGGGTGTACCGCTCGCGAGCCGTCAAGTTGCACACGGAAAGGTTCGAAGCACAGCAAAAGCGCTGGTGAGGAGGTGAACGGGACGGCCAACGAGGCTTACCAATATCAAAGTGAGGCGTTGCATGCGAGGAGCGTCGCGCGTGGGTCACGGAAACCTAAGAGGGGCCCTCGAGGCGAGTCTAAGTCAGCCGAGGGAGAAACTGCTGCAATTAGCAAATGTATTTTCTAGTATAATTGAACCCGTGTACGTCTTCGCAACTAGACGCACAAGAAGCTCGAACCATCTTCCCACCCCGTCAAATGACCCATTCAGGCAGGCTTCTGCGTGGAGGGTTCTGCGTGGAGGATCAATGGTTGGTGGCCCCGGATTGTTGTTCCCGGCTCGATCCGGAGGTATGGCTCGATCAACCGGACTGACATGGCACTCGTATCTTTGGGTGCCTTCGGAAGGGCGGGACAAGACCGGCTGAACCAAGTGCCCAAAGGATGATACCAGGTCCAGAAAGAAGCTCGTTGCTCGCCGCTCGCCTGGTGCGGGGAACAGGCCATAATGTCGACTAGGAGCAGCACCCAGGATCGGCTATCGGTGCCTTGCAGGAGGCAATCAATCACAAGACGTTTTTCGAAGCGTCATTGTTGGCCAGCTCATCTGACAGATGAGGTGTGTGTGTGGGAGGACGAGGGGGATGGCCATGGCTGGTGATAGATGGGTGCAGATGGAGGAGGACGAGATCGCGCACTGGTCAACCACAAGCGGCCACCCACTATTGGCCCTACCGCTGTAGCCCCGCGCATCCACCCAGGCAAGCGAGTTCCTGGTTGTACCTGACCCCTGAGAGGTCACGGCCCAGGCCACTTGGCATTGGATCGACCCCTCCCGCTTCCCACATCTCGCATGCTCTCTCATCAGGTGCTGTTCATCGCCTTCTCTACGGCCAACGGCCCTAGCGCAGTGGAAGAACCATTGGAACTGCCCTCGACAGCACATCGGCCTAACTACTTCTCGTCACGGCCCGCCATGTTGTCCCCCTTGTCCACGGCCCCTGGTTAGATGGGCCATGGTCCCAAGCAAATGTTAATGCCCAGATCCACTCCGACCCGAAGATGCCTATCCCATGTCCCAAGCCTTCCCGTGGCGTCTGCCGAGAGAAGGCAACGGCCTCGCCTCGACGGCCGGGCATTGCAACGGCATTGGCACTGGCCCAGACGGACGCATGAAGCACATCATCGCCGTGACGCCGTCT